ACCCATAATTAGTACATTCCTATACAAGCAATAAGATTGAAGAATTCAAGGTCGAATTGCATTTTTTTTGCGTATCTTTAATTAAATCTGAAAAAGTTGCTAATTGCGTTGTACAGGTTGATTGAACCTTCGTTTCTCAAATAGATGTTTGAACAATGAACGAGATTCAAGCTTTGGGTGAGTCTCAAGGTGGCCGACCTCGAGAGTGCCACAAATCTTATAAATATGCCGCATTTTAAAGGTCAGATTAATGTATTGAAAAGAAGCGGTTTTCCGGTCTGCGTGTAAAATAGGTTCTTTTTTTTTTCGACGTCGTGCTCGGACTTTGGAATTCCAATATTACTCACTTATTGAGATGAAAACAGGTGCAATATTGTTGTTGTTTTTTTTTTTGCTTAATCTTCGGTTTGCTATGCACGTAACGCGCGTTTCGAGCATTGCAGATGCGAAATGCATTGGGTTGTAAATAAGAGTGGAGCGATTTATTGGCACTTTCGCTTTGCCTACGAAATGAACCGCTAAGGAAATATTAATATTGATCACAGCCTCAGCGGTGAAGAAAACTAAAGATTTTCAACTTGGAGGTTTCATATGCATTATTCATGCATCATCTCCGAAGTTGTCTTTCTTCGTTAATTTCAAATGGATTAAACTTAAGAGATGAATGAATTATTGATCATTACCAGCAAATTCCTTAAATATTTAAAATAGTCTACTTTGAGATATTTCCACTTCTTATTAGAACCATAATTAATTATCTATTTATAATTAATAATACATTTCAGAAGAAATATTTATATTCATTAAACTTCAGTATCGAAGAAAACCAAAGATTTCAACTTAATTTATTCGTTTCTAATTATTAGTTTATACAATTTTCTAATTCATTCATTCAACAAATACTTCAATTCAGGCTTTATCTGTTTGAAAACCGAATTATTCTAAAGCCATCATTAATCAATCTTGTGTTAAATGCAAGTGAAATATGGTTTGTCGAAATTAATAATTTTTGAAAGGCTGTTCGATAACCGAATTCTTTTTAAATTATCTAATGTATTCGGTTCGGTAAAAGCTGTTTGAAAACCGAATTATTCTTAAATTGTTGAACTTAGTTCGGCCCTAAAAGCTGTCCCAAAACCGAATTATTCTTATATTGTCATCTTATATACAGAATTAATCTAAAAGTTCATGATCAGTTTTAGAGAATGATTGCTTTTTTAAACCTGTATTAATCTTAAATTCATTGAATTAATCTTGTATAATGATGCAAATGAAAACTTGGCTGTAAAACTTAATTCCTTAAGGCTGTTCGAAAACCGAATTATTCTTAAATTGTTGAACTTAGTTCGGCCCTAAAAGCTGTTCGAACTTAGAGGTTTCATATGCATTATTGTTGTTGTCTTTCTTCGTTAATTTCAAATGGATTAAACTTAAGAGATGAATGAATTATTGATCATTACCAGCAAATTCCTTAAATATTTAAAACAGTCTATTTTAAGATATTTCAACTTCTTATTAGAACCATAATTAATTATCTATTTATAATTAATGATACATTTCAGAAGAAATATTTATATTCATTAAACTTCAGTAGCGAAGAAAACCAAAGATTTCAACTTACAGATTTAATTTTCGAAGTTGTTTTTTCTTTAAATTCAAATGGATTAAAGTTAACAGCAAATTATTTAAAGAATCAAACTAATCTACTTGGAAATATTTTCACTTCCTACTACTAGAACTATAATTGATTCAATTATAATTAAAAATAGATTACAACTGCTGAAGAAATGTTTATATTAATCAACTTCATCGGCGAATATATCAAAAGATATTACTGAATCATCGTCGAAGTTGTTTCTTCTTTAATTTCAAATGGATTAAAATTAACCGAAGAAAAAAAATTGATCATTACGAGCAAATTCTTTAAAAATTAAAAATTGTCTACTTGTAGATATTTCCACTAATTAACAATAGATTTGAATTAACGAAGGCTCAGAAACAAAGGCGTCAAAAGGTCCTATATTTTTGTTTACTTTCAAATGGATTAAACTCAAGAAATTAACAAATAATAGCATTCTTTTGATAACTTAAATCTCTCAAATTCCATGAATAAGCTAAGATTTCAACTTGGATTTCTCTTGTATTGGATGTAATAATATTTATTCTTTACTTTCAAATGGATTTAACTTAAGAAATGAATAAGTAACAACATTTTTTCGTTTAAACTCTCAGATTCCTTTAATAATTAAATTAATCGTTTTCCTACCATTATTACTTTAATTATTATTGAATAATAGATAAGAATCACTCTGTTAGCTAAGATTTCATGTCAAAACTGTATTTTTCTTAGTTTTCATCCAATTTTTATTCTTCAGTTTCCATAGGATTTAGCTCAATAAATAAATAAGTTACAACATTTTTTTTTATATAACTTTTAAATCTCTAATTACGAGCCAATTCTAAAACGTATCGACAATGTATACACTTCCAACTAGAATTCAATTAAAATGAACAATGGATTTTTAACAATGCCAAGCATTAACTTAACGATCCGAATTAGTGGTTTCAATTTAGAAGCAAACTGGAAACAAAGCGCATTATTTTCCCTGCGGTTAGTTACTTTATCGATTCCATTCAACCATCACCACGTTGCGTGAGGTCGTAGGTCTACTTCCAAGATCTGTTGATGTTGATTATTGACCTTTTAATGAAATATTACTATTAACATGTTGTGTTGGGGGGAAAACACTGAAATCACGGAGGTTTCGTGAATGGCCCAGGACGTGCGTGCATGTGCTTGTGTGTGTATCGATCGATTCGGGAAAAGCTGATCCGGCTTTAAGCTCTGATTTGGTGATATTTATAGTACGGGACAGGCGACGGAAGGGCCGAAATCCGGTCACTTTCCGGATGCTTCAAATAATAGAAATTTCCGCACTTTCACTCCAACAAATGAAAAAAAAAACAATTCCAATTCACCTTTTTGAAACCACCTGTTTTAAAGCCTGACGTACTTAACGAAAATCACAAGTGGCATTGATCTTAAAACAATAGATTTAAAAGTGCTTTATTTCAGTTCAGAATTCAATATATTTTGATCTTTTCTCTTTGAGTATTTGCACCTTAATATTTTGCATCGTAGTTTGTTTAGGCATGAAAAAAAATCATAATTCAGCAACACCTCGCATAGTTCGGCTCCTATTAATCCGGATTCACTACAGTCCGGTTTGAACATTTCAAATCAAAATATAGTATTTTTTTCTTTATTGACTATATACATCTCTTCTAATTCTATTTTATATAGTTCTTCGATTAGTCCGGATTCAAACAGATATTATCAAAACTGATTATCCGCACTATACGAGGTATTACTGTATATATTCAATTTATGCAAATAAATAAATATTTACATAAATATATTCTGACATATTGATAGAAACAATTTCAAACTTTTATATTCGTGATGAACTTTAAATGAAAATTTTAGAATCAACTAAAATAATAATATTTTACAAAAAAAATACGGAAAAAATGTGTTAAATTGTTTTAAAATCATATAATTTTCCTATGATTTTTTAAGTTCATAAATCTAAATTCAATATATAATCACAAAAAAAAAAATATAAAACCACAAAACTTATTTTTATTTTCTGAATAATTGTTGGTTCCTTTAATACTTAAATAGTTGCTGGAATTTAGTTACAGACGTGCTTCAAAATTGATCACGTATTTAATTTACATAGAATGGACAACGAAATTAAATACTAAGAATTTAAAATTAATTTTTTTTTTAAAGATTTGTAAGAATTTCTTGATAATTATTATCTCATTTATGAAGATTATACAAATTTGTGTAATTTGTTAAATTCTTCCAAAAATTATTTTTCTATTATTTTAATTTATTAAATTTAAATAACTTATAAAACAAACAGCTGTCAACTTTATCACAAGATGATAGCTATCACCTTTAACACAAGATAGCAGTTGTCACCATTAACACAATATGACAGCTGTCATCTTTAACACAAGACGACAACTATCACCTTTAACACAAGATGACAGCTATCATTTTTAACACAAGATGGAAGTTGTCACCATTAACACAAGATAACAGCTGTCATCTTTAACACAAGATGACAACTATCACCTTTAACACAAGATGACAGCTATCACCTTTAACAAAAGATTATAGCTGTCATTTTTAACACAATATGGCAGTTGTCATCTTTAACACAAGATGACAGCTGTCATCTTTAACACAAGATAACAGCTATCATCTTTAACACAAGATGACAGCTGACAAATAACAATTATACAAACATATATGTTGGGTTCCACCATAAGATTTGACGAATTTGTTAAAAATTATTTTATAATTTTGTAATTTGTTTTTGTTTCTCTATGTTTGTTTCGATAAATATTTATTATTTATTTTATTTTTATTATGTTATTTATTTATTTATTTATTAAATTTTAACAACATATCAAAAATATTGTCATATTACATGACGTTTTAGTATTTATAACAAGTCTAGAAACAATATTGAGTCGCGAAATGACAGCTGTCATCTTGTGTCAAATATGACAGCTGTCATATTGTAAATAATTTACTCGCCTTACAAACATATCCTATATGAAAATTAGTTTTATTTATTATATTTAAATAACTTATAAAAAAAATTGTTATATTACACGATTTTTTAGTATTTATAACACGTCTATAACAACCAATATTGTTGGGTCGCGAAATGACAGCTGTCATCTTGTGTCAAATGTGACAGCTGTCAATTAATAAATTATTTGGTCGTAAGACAAAAATACGTATGTTGTACTAGAATATCCTTCAGCATCGATTACTTAACATAATTTAAATATTTACATTCGTAGACGAAGAAGTTAAAGTTATGCAAATTTTATTTCCATTTTATTATTGTTGTTATTGTTACTTCCACATTATAAAACAACTATTCTAACAATGTCATTATTTCCTTCTGTTTCAGATTTATAACCATGGCTCTAGTTTTAAAATACGTAGATGATATTAACAAGTTCTTGAACAAATATGAAGGTAAGTTGTTAAATGTTCTATTTTTAATACTTTTTTTATTTCCACCATAAAAAAATGCTTTGTTTTTATACTTAATCGCTGCAGCATGAACAGATTTTCTAATTGCACTTAGTGACTTATTCGCATCAGAATTTCCATGCGCCGACGATTAAGTTTGTTTATGTTACGTTGTAATTAATTAATTCTTTCCACGTCTGTTGCAGATTCGAGAACAGCGAATTGGCCACTCATGTCTAGTCCATTTTATACCTTAGGAATTTGTTTAATTTATGTTTTTGTTGTTAAGGTAAGCATCACTTTTTAGTTTTTTTTTATATACAAAAAAAAATCATGTAAATCAAATTCGTCCTTGCTCAGGTCAAAGATATTAATAATAACCTTACGTTTACAGTTAACTAATAATCATTAATATATACAGTTAAAGAATACAAAAGTCATACATTTTATTACTCACTCTTTAAATCTCCATTAGAATTCTTACATAATATTATAATAAAGAATATCCGAAAATAGCTTGAGAATAAATAATAATTGTTCAAGGATTGAAACCAAATATTTCGAGAGAAAAAAAGGCTTGAAATGTTATTATTATTATTTTTTTGTACGTATTTGTCTAACGTTTTAACATTAATATCGCGACGGTAACATTTCGCGAAGCAATAAAAATCGTAAGAGTAGACGCAATTCGATTAAACGACTACGAAAATAAACAATCTAAATATTGGGACAATGCCGTTGCGTAACGTTTGTTTACTAATTGCCGTTTTTTTTTCAATGTCGTGCACAAAATACGAGGCGTTTCGTAATCGAATTACGGTCAGCAACGTTGCTTAATTTACACACGAATTTATACTTACTATAAAAACAATTACCAATTATATTCAAATAAATCAATAAAAATTTTATCAAAAAAAAAACTGAAATTTTCACACTATATTCTTATTATTTATATTAATTGTTTCGATGAAAATTACATGATTTTTTAGTATTTATAACAAGTCTAGAACCAATATTGGACTGCAAAATGACAACTGTCAATTTGTGACAAATGTGACAGCTGTCATATTGTAAATAATTTGCTCGCATTTTATGTTGTTTGAGAAACGCTGGTCTAGAATATCCTTCAGCAACGATTACTTAACATAATTTAAATATTTACATTATCAGATGAAGAAGATTTTTTTACTTAGTGTTAATTAATCTACAAAAATTTTCTCATAAAGGACATCATTTACTCAAAAAAAAAAGTTATATTTCACGATTTTTTAGTATTTATAACATGTCTATAACAACCAATATTGTTGGGTCGCGAAATGATAGCTGTTATCTTGTGTTAAAAGAGACAGCTGTCATTTTATAAATAATTTGGTCGCAAGACAAACATACGCATATTTATTGTGTCAAATATGACAGCTGTCATATTGTAAATAATTTGGTCGCATTTTATGTTGTTTTATCCTTCAGCAACGATTACTTAACATAATTTAAATATTTACATTCTCAGATGAAGAAGTTAAATTTTTTAATTAGTGTTAATTAATCTGCAAAAGTTTCCTCAAAAAGGACATCATTTACTCAAGTTCTCACACTTTTATCTGCGTAGAATCCTCGTATTATTAAAATAATTGAAAATATCCCGGAATAAAAAGATTAAAGAAATTATTTCTAAAACATACGAATTTATACCTAGTGTTAGAATAATTGCAAATATATTTAAATTTATCCACAAAGATTTATCAAATAAAAATCATTTACTGAAGTTCTCACACTTTTATCTGCGTACAATCTTCATGTTATGTAGATAATTGTAAATATTGTGAAATTAAAGTAATTATTTCTAAAACACGAATTTTAAACTTAGTGTTAAAATAAATGCAAATATTTTTAAATTCATTCACAAAGTTTTATCAAATTAAACTCATTTACTGAAGTTCTCACACTTTTATCTACGTACAATCTTCATATTATGTAGATAATTGGAAAACACATGTTTTTTACACTTTTATCAGTATAGAATCTTTATATTAATTAAACAATAAAAAATAATTGCAAATATTGAAATGCAAAAATGCACAAATTTATACTTAGTGTTAAAATAATATATTTAATGATTTTTTTTCACTTTTCTCTTCTTGGAATCTTTGTATAATTAAAATAATTGCAAATATCTTGAAATGCACCAACAACAACAAAAAAAAACTTTTCTCGCATTTATCTTTCTGGAATCTTCTTGAAATGCGAGATGGACGGAAAGTTTTCCGCGGTAATAATTTTTAATTAAATTTAGGAATGATGTTGGAAAGTCGCTCGATAACGACCATCCAGATTATTATATAATATTTAGAAAACTGATTTTCTTTTTATTATGTCATGAAAGAAGTTGCACACCGATGATTATTTTCTATATTCATTGCGATCGAAGCGTAATTACTGTTCATTTTTATTTTTTTTTATTCACACGTAATTGTAAATCTCGATTGGATTTTCCATTCCAAAAAATATGTAGAAAGTATGAATCATTCGATGTGTGCAGCAGACGGCGGATGATTTGTGTAGTATTAAAGTTCACGTTGTTTCAACTTATTACTTTTTTAAATTTCAACAAGGAAACGTAGACAATTTGTACGTGTTTTCGAGTATTTTCATATCATGATATTAAATCATATCTTTTAAATTACTCGATAGATTTTAATAAAATTTTGTACTTTTACTTAGAATAACCCAAATAGTAAAATAGCATAAACAGAATTTCAATTTTTCCTTTGGTTAAACAATAGATTTTTTTTTAATAAAAACTTGGTATTGTCTAAATTTAATATTTCTTTCCGTAATATTGTATTAGATACAAATGCGCTTAATAATAATCTTTCTTGTTAAAAAACGGCTCTAACCAAATCAGAATTTTCTTATCTTTCTTGGTTTAAAAATAAAATTTTGAAATTTTCCAACATTTCTTTTACAAAATTTGTTTCTTTATAAGTGCATATTTCTTTATGAAAATCTATCGGAGTTGTTTAGAAATTATAAATGTATATTAAAAACTACGAATTATTAATATTGATACAGCATAAGCAGAATTTTAATTTTTCCTTTGTTTAAAAAAATAATAATTTAGATTTTTTTTTAAATAAAAACTTCGTAATTTTTTTTTGATTGACAAAATTTAATATTTCTTTCCGTAATATTATAGTAGACACAAATGCGCTTAATAAGAATCTTTCTTGTAAAAAAAAGCGGTTCTATGGATTTGAGAAGATGAAATATGAGTTTTTGGTCAAACAAATATTCGTGATTTTTCCTTTCAAAAAAACATCATATCTTTTAAATGCTTTGACAAATTGTGTTTATATTTTGTACGGTTACTTAGAATAAGATAAGTAATAAACTAACCAAATCAGAATTTTCATATCTTTCTTGGTTTAAAAATAAAATTTTGAAATTTTTCAACTTTTCTTTCACATAATTTGTTAAGTTATAAGTATGCAAAATGTATATTGAACTATGTACGTTCTATTTGTATTGTAATTAATCAATTATTGATAAGAGTTAACATGTTTTTTTTTTAATTTTCAGGTTGCGGGTCCTAAGTTTATGGAAAATAGGAAACCATTCCAGCTGAAAAACGTATTAATTGTGTACAACTTATTCCAAGTAATATTCAGTGCCTGGATGTTTTACCAAGTGAGTATTGTTTGTAAATATTTCTTATGTTTCTATTGTACACGTGGTATATTTCCGCATATTCAGTAGGTTTAAGCAAAACAAAAAAACAAGAACAACAACAAAAAAATTGAACACGTTAATTTATAAGCGCATGCAGATACATGCGCCTTTGTTTGTGGAATATTTATAACAAAATATTAAATCCACGTACTTCACAATTCAATATCTAGAAATAGATTTGTTATTCCATAATAATTTATGTAATTTTTCAATTTCATTAATTTTGAGTTTAATTATTTTTAAATCTAATACCAATTAGTTCATTATTTTGTAATTATTCAATAGATAATCAAACCTTATTAAAACCACAATTTTTTAACTTGTAAATCATTGCAAAATATCTTAATTATTTAATGAATAATTTCATAATTTCACATAAATTGAATAATCTAAATTACTAAGAAATTTAAAACCAATTAGTTAATTATTTAACAATTCTTAAGTAGATATTAAATATTTTATTAAATATTACACAAATCCAAGTATCAAATTGACATATTATGAAATAGAGTTAAAAAAAACTATTTTTTTTATTAACATTTCAAATACTTGAGTATTTTATAATTGAGAAACCCAAAACACTTAAATACTAACGAAATTTTCATTGGGTTAAGCAATATGCAATATCTCAATTATTTATCAATTAATTTCATAATTTCACAGAAATTAATACTAATTATATGTCTAGAAGTATACATGAAACAATCAGTGGAAAAAACTATAAATAAATATCTTTTTTTTCAATAATAATTTCAATTATTACACTTTTCACGTGTATTTTTTACTATGTATTGAATTTTGATTACGTACTGCAGACTATTATAGCTGCGTTACGTCTATTTTTAGTTCTACAGACTGCGGCAGAAATAACTCCCACATTACAAAAAATGGAAAACTTCCAAGATAATCTCCAAATGTCTATCGGCAGTTAAGGTCACCATTTGGACAAAGTAATTTTTAAAACTTATAGTAAAAAAACTTATTTAATCCTACATTTGGCAAATACAAAGTTATTGATGATAACTCGTACCATTTTTGTCAATCCCAATTTGAAATCTAGGAGTTATTTCTGCCGCACACTGTACAAATACAATGCAAACACTTTTAGTGAAATTATAGTAACAGCTTCACTTTGACGTTGTTTTGATGATCGACGAGCGTTTGTTATTTGTATTTTTCTTTATTTACAAATTCGAAAAAAAGTAAATGGACAAATAGAAGAAATTACATTTATGTAATGATGATTTCAATTAATTGATTCAAAATTCCAAAAAAGGCTACAAATATATATCGGCCGTTAGGTCACCATTTGGACGACGTAAATATTAAAACTTGAAGTAAAAAAAATACTTTGTTATATCCACATTTGCAAAATATAAAGTTATTGGTGATAACTCGTACTATTTCTTTTCAATCCTCCTTTTAAATGTGGGAATTATTTATGCCGCACCATGTACAAATACGAATGATTTAACAATGCAAACACTCTTACTGAAATTATAGTAAAAGTGACACATTGACATTATTTTGATGATCGACGAGCGTTTGTATTTATAACTTCGAAAAAGTGTAAATAAAAGTGAACAAATAGACAAAATTACATGTTTTTACCTATGATTTCAATTAATTAATAAAAATTTGCTTCGTTTCAGATCGGTATATCCGGATGGTTAACTGGAAAGTATAACTGGAGATGCCAACCGGTGGATTACACCAATAGCGCAGATTCTCTCAGGGTAAGTTATTACATGATAACTGTTAAATTATATAAGATTTCATTGAATCTGTAAATAATAAATAATACAATATTTTCTTTATTTCTTTTCATAGGCGGCGCACGCAAGTTGGTGGTATTACATTTCAAAATTCACGGAATTCATGGACACGGTGAGTGTTAAAATAATAATAAATGTTTGCCCCATTATCCTAAATAGACGTGAGCTTCGGGCATTTCCCCCCCACGGATTAACTATACAATCAATATCCGTACTAATACTAGGCATTACACGCGATTATCATTCATAAAATAAATACACTCAATTCCATTCATAGTTAATGCCTCGACAAATAATGCTCGAGCGCATCGAAAGCTTCTTACAAAGTACATTATTTTTTTAAAAGATAATCATAATAAGAGTTGCAGCAAACATGCATATGCAGGTCGATACGGTTTTGTGTTTACGTAAGTTGAAATTAGAGCAGATCCAAGAAGAAGTATTGCGCAAAAGAAAAAAATATGTAATCACCGAGGCAATGAGAAATAAAACAAATAATAATAATAGTTATTGTTTTGTTTGCAGCTTTGAATTGTATCCAAGGCAACAACTGTTCTTGTTAGCTTAACTTCAGATTTAGTCAGAATTAATTAATGTTGTTATTGTTTTGTTTTCTTGCAGATATTCTTCGTATTGAGGAAGAAGAATGATCATATTTCCACGTTGCACGTCATCCATCACGGAGTTATGCCAATGTCCGTTTGGTTTGGCGTCAAATTCACACCAGGTAAATTCACTAATATTTTCAAACTTATTCAACTCTTTATTATTTTTTTTAACTCTTTGTATGCCTATGGTTTCACCATGAGACCACATAAAGAATAATTATTTTCAAGCTTTCTGTTTTCTAGTGGTTCCACAGTGGAACCACAATTTTTGACAAAAATTAAACTAAAATAAAAACCTAATTTATCTAAAAAATCGACAGTTTTGACAAAATTAATTTGGGTCACAAATGACAATACACATCTTCACTTTGTAACGTTCATTTGATCTTTATCGGTTTATCATAGTTAAGCAATGTTTGGTGATTGCACGAACGAATAAAACGCATTAGCACTTTGTTAGAGCAAAGAAGTCTTAACTGAGCAAATATTCGCACAATTCACACAATATATATTCGTACGTTTCGCCAGAAAATCTGATAATTGGATGTTAATTGATATTTTGAGAGTTGTATAATTTTTTTTATGTTCTATTTATAGATAAATATGAATCGGCGAATACAAATCGAGACGTTTCATTATTTTTTTTTATTCAATATCAATGTGTAAACATTGATGGGTGTGTGGACGTATAGAGGAGATAAAAATGTAAATAATCATTATTATCTAATCCGTTTGGGTTCTCTGATAGAGAAAAAAGATAGAAGATTATGTAATGTGGAGAGAGACGCGTGCAGATTTGTCATCAAATCAAATTAATTAATCCAGTCATAACAAATAGACGTTTTTACGTAATTTTAACGATTTGATTTAATAGTCTAAACGATGAAATTCATAATATAATAAACCTCAATTAAAGAAGTTTGTTCGTAAACCGAAATCATTTTTTCCATTTGAATTAAGTAATTTTAATGCAATTTTATATAAAATTGATAAACTTTCATTAAATCTTTTCCACTATAGATTCTTAACCTATGGTTTACGATACTTTTTAATGGGTCTTGAAATGACAGCTGTCAAAGTTGATATGAACAATTGGGTTGCAATACAACTATAGCAAAAAGGAAACTCTGATCTATATAAGTGTAATTGATGCATAAAATTGTATATAAAATGTATGTAAGAACATAAAATCTTTTACACTATAGTAATTATAATAACTTAAATTATAAAATTAGATGAAAATTTAACTTCACTTTATCTTAACCTATGGATTGTGATACATTTTTAATTAGTTGTGAAATGACAGCTGTCACCTTTGATGTAAGTGTCAATAAAAATATGTTATAAACAATTGCGTTGCGCTATACGAAAACTATAGCCAAATATTTTGGTAATAAGGTTGAGAAACGCTGATGAAAATACATACAATATTTTACATAAGAGTTATTAAACATTTCTTGACAAAATATCATAAAATTAGTTAAAATTCTTCACTTTTGTTTATACCAATGGATCGTGAAATGACACCTGTCACCTGACGTCAAAGTGTCGAAAAATTATGTTATAAACAATTGGGTTGTAATACAATTACAGCCAATGATGCATTGCGATAAATTTTTAATGTGTCGTGAAATTACAACTGTCACCTTATGTCAAAGTATCAAAAAAAATACGTGGTAAACAATTGATTAGCATTATATTGCCAAATATTTTGGATTTTGAAGCAAAAAAGGTTGAGAAACACTGTTCTATACAAAAGTAATGAATTCATAAAATTGATGAAAATACATAATATATTTTGTCACTATAGTAATTATAATAACATTTCTTAAAAAAAAACCATAAAATTAGAGAAAATATAACTTCACTTTATCTATAACAGCTAAACCTATGGGTCGCGATAATTTTTTGTAATTGGTAGTGAAATGACAGCTGTCAAAGCGTCAATTAAAGTATGTTACAAACCATTGGACAGCAAGCCAAATATTTTCGGTGGAACAGCAAAAAAGGTTGAGAAACAGTGATCTATACAAAACTAATTCATCCATAACATTTCATATAAAATTGATGAAAATTTATAAAATCATTTACACTATAGTAATTATAATAACATTTTAACTTCACTTTATATATAACAGCTTAACCTATGAGTCGCGACAACTTTTAATTATTAGTCAAATGACAGCTATTGCCTTACGTCAAAGCGTTTGATAGCAAGCTAACTGTTTTGGATAGAACTGCAAAAAAGGTTGAGAAACACTGATTTATACAAGAGTAATTCATGCATAACAATTTATCCAAAATTGATGAAAATACATAACAAAAAACTTGTACAGTATAGTAATTATAGTAATAACAGTGAAATGACAGCCTGTCACCTTACGTCAAAGTGTATAACTAAAATCAAGTATATTGGGTCCAAAAACGTTGAGAAACGCTGCTATATTGGATAGTCAGTTAAATTATATGAATTAAATTAGAAATTTCAATGTTCAGAAACGTAAATATGTTCAATAATTGAATTTGTTCGTAAACAGAGGTGTTTTAGTTTTGGGTGTTCATATAGAAACCAAATAATATTAGTAACAAAGTTGTACGAGTTAATGGATTTATTATTTACGTTCGAAGCAAAGTTTGTAAATTATATTATCAGTAATTAAATGTGATTTAATTAAGTAAAGTTTGTGTTTGATACTGATCACTTCTTTGTGTTTTTTTTTCAGGTGGCCACAGTACATTCTTCGGTTTCTTGAACACTTTCGTGCACATCGTCATGTATGCCTACTATATGCTCAGCGCGTTCGGACCTTCCATCCAGAAATACTTGTGGTGGAAGAAGTACTTGACGACCCTTCAAATGGTGAGAATTGATTCCTTTGTACACACACACACACAAAAACAATCAATAATAATTAAATTTTTAAATTGCAGATCCAATTCGTTGGCATAATGGTGCACGCCTTCCAGCTGCTCTTCATCGATTGCAATTACCCACGTGCCTTCGTCTGGTGGATAGGAATGCACGCCGTGATGTTCTTCTTCCTGTTCAAGGAGTTCTACAATCAATCCTACAACAGGAAGCAAAGAGCGAAAGCCAAGGTCGAGTCGTTAGCCGCGACTTCGACGAACGGTCATATCCAGAATGGTTATACCAAGGAGGCCTCCAAAAAACAACAACAACAGAAGACTGCCCAAGATTACTACCAAATGAACGGAAACAGTGACTTACATCACAGGAGCACTAAAGTTCACTAGAATCTTAATTCAAACAAAAGCAAAAAAAAACAACAAACCAACAACAACAACAACAAAATCAATCATTTAGAAAGAAGAAGAAAAAATGCAATAAGGGGTGAAGCGAAATTAATTATTTATTAAATCGTTTTCTTTATTCTCTTCTTATATTTAAAAAAAAAATTAAAATCTCATTTCTCAACTTTACTTCTACTATATACTTTATACATACATATATATATATACGATATTTGGGTGAATATTCTAGACTTGTTGACTGCGGATAGGGCGAAAAAAAAAAGTAATTAATAAAAAAAATATAATAATTTCAAGAATGGAAATATATGTTATATATATTGAAATTTTCGTGTAGATAATTGTTGACTATTTAATTATTATTATTATGACTATAATTTTTTTTATATACTTGTTGTTGTTTTATTGATCCGAATCCGAAGAGGTTGCTCAATTTTTATAGCACAAATTATTTAAAGATAATCGTAATATTAATAAACAAACAAAAACAAATGAAGGAAAGATGAAGAAACAAAAGTATTTTGTAGTAGCAGCTGGAAAAGAAAAAAAAAACAAATTCAAATCAACAGATATAGGTGCTATTTTTTGAAAACAATGAAAAGTGATTTTTCCTTACACTTTTTCTCGCAGTTTTTTTTTAACACGTACGAAAAGTGTGTGTGGTGAAAACTGCGAAAATCCCTCTTCACCCCCGCCGTAAGCGCACACCCTTTATACACATATATTATACAAATTGATATAATTACGGTTTTTTCTTTGGGGTGGACCAATAATATACATGATGTTATTGTGCAAGGGCGAGGGAGAATAATTTATGAAAAATTGTGAAAAAATTATGTATAATGTGTAAAAAAAAAGTCGTGTAGATAGTTTGGCAGCAAAGACAGAAAGATGTGGATATATTGAATAAACAAACAAAAAAAAAGAAGAAGTGTATATTAGGATTGTTGCTAATATATTGTATTTTAATAATGTTTTATTTTATTATTTTCTAGTGTTTATTAATTATTATACGAAAATCAGGTTTATTGTTGTATGTATTTTTTATACTTACTTATTAAAAGAAAATATATATAAATTAATAAAATAAAAGATAAACAAGTTAATTAAGCTTTATTGTTTCAATTCCTATACAAATCCCTAAAAGAAATTATGTAATAATTTGTTTAATACATAAGAAACATTGTTTTCCCTAAGAACTGTTAAATGTTTAATAAGAATACACGTGATTAATTGATTTAATTTACTGAGTATAAAGCAACGAGTTTAATAGAAAGTGTAAATTAAATGCCTAAAATAAGTCTTTTTGTTGTTGTTTTACGTTTGAAGAAATGTATTATGGTCATTATTCTTCCTACTCTCACTCTTGGGAATTGATTAGTGTTAGTGCAATAATTGAAAGTCTATAGTTTTAAAAAAATAAATCATTTCTTCGCGCTGATTTGGTTGCCTATGTCTATAATTGCAATTACTGTTAATCTTGTTTTACTAATTAATAAGTTAATTAGTAGAAATCAAGATAATTGTTAATTAACTGTAATTGAATCTAAATATATCAAAATCAATCCGTTTTTGTAAATAATACTTGTATGCTTCATAATAAAAATAAGAGTCTATATCGCAAACACGACAATCGAAAGACCGTCTATTGAAATCCCGACGTTCGAAATCCCGATTGTATCGAAATCCCGACGTTCGAAATCCATACTATATCAAAATCTCGACAACCATAATCCCGACTATATCAAAATCCCGACTGTATCAAAATACCGACTATATCGAAAATTTTTACAATCACATTTTTAAATTATTTCGGGAATTGTAGTCGGGATTTTGATACAGTCGGGATTATGGTTGTCGGGATTTTGATATAATCGGGATTATGTTTGTCGGAATTTCGATACAGTCGGGATTTCAAATGTCAGGATTTCGATACAGACGGGATTTCGAACGTCGGGATTTCGAACGTCGGGATTTCAATAGACGGATAAATGTATTACATCATGTTCTTTGTTAATTTTCTCAAATCTACAATGTGTAACTTAATAAATTCTAGGTCATAATGACCTATAATCAATAGTTCTGTGCAATAGTTGCTAATTTTTTTGTATGATTATTGCAATAAATTTAAATTATAAAACAATATATAATATAATAGAATTCAAGAGAATTATAAATATACTATGATTGAATTTAATTATATAAGAATCAATCCGTTTTTGTAAATAATACTGTGTGTGCTTTATAATAAAAAAAAAATATATTACATCATATTTTTTATTAATATTGTAAACTCTACTTTAATAAATTCTAGGTCATAATGACCTATAATCAATAGTTCTCTGCAATAATTGCTATTTTTTTTGTAGGATTATTGCAATATTGTATTAATAACTATTATTAATAAAACGTGGATGGATTTAGAATTAATTGAACTTAAATTAAATGTAAAATATATTCATATCATTGTGTAATACAAACAAACTTAATTAATAAAACTTTATTTACCGAAACTTAATGAATGATTTCATTAATTTCCTCTCTACTATATATTTTTTCTCTCTATGTTCATTTAGAAGAAGAAAGAAAAAACAAATCTGTTACATAATTATTGCTATCGAGTACGCCTATATTTGTATAGATAAATCAAATTAAAAGTAAAGAAAAAAAAAGTACAAGAACTACACTTTCTACATCAATTAATGCAAAAGATTTGAAATCCAGGAAACGCTTGAAAATCCGGAACAAAAATTTACAAGTGAGAATCTCTATTAACTAGTTTATATAATATTGACTGAATTGACGCATCTCAAATCATTTTTTTTTCTTCTTCTTATATATATATATATTTATAATTACGCAAATTACAAATTTATGTACAAAACAAATTATTAGATAAGATGCGCACGGTTTAATATCATTTAATGTAACGATTAATTAATAATAATTACAAAACAAAATAAAAACATTGGAGTATATATTATTATATATAACTCGATTAAATTACCTACAATTTACGTTTATAACATAGGTACATGGAATAGAGTTCAGCCTTGGTTTATCAATTAATTAAATACAGTAAGAAGATAAAGTTAACGTTATTGCTTCTTCATTCCCTCTTCTTGTAGCTGCTGGACCTGGAATCGGCGAGGCTGAACAGTTGAGCGTTCGTTTTCTCCACCATCACTTCGATGCTCTTCTTGGATGCGGACCTCTGATAAGCTTTCTTGTAGAAATCGTTGAAGAGGTAGTAGAAGAAGATAGCGTTGGGTAACACGAAGATCGTGGACCATTTCGGGTAGTCGCAGTCGTAGAAGAACAGCTGCATAGAATGAATGAAGGCTACGCAAAATTGCAACTGAAAATTTTAAATTTCGTTAGTTTCTTTTTAATTATATTTGGGTTACGTGACAAAGCAGGACAAAACACAACAAAAAAAGAACAATAACTTTAATGTTGTTGATCACTGTTCTTTTTTTGTCATTGTTCTTGTTTGTTTGCGTACCAGTTGAAGCGTTGTAATGTATTTTTTCCACCAAAGGTACTTCTGTATGGACGGGCCCATCGCTGCAAGCAAGTAGTACGTGTACATGACGATGTGAACGAAGGAGTTGATGAAGCCGATGAAGGTGCCGTGACCGCCGGGGAAGTACTTCGTGCAACCCCAGCTGATCATCGGCATCACGGTGTGATGGTACAGGTGGAGGAACGTCACTTGGTTGTTCTTCTTCCGCAGCACGAAGAAAACCGTGTCCAGCAGCTCCGAGATCTTGGCTAGAAAGTAATAATACACACCGGTCGCTACCTGAAACGCTCACAAATCCACGATTAGCATTCTCATTTACTTCTTGTTCTATGCTATAATCAAAATACGAAATCCCCACAATCAAATTATGGTTGTCGGGATTTCGATTGACACCGTCAAAATACAAATACAACACGCATCAGTCTATACAAATGCTAAAAGATGAATTCCATCCACGGCACTTACGAACAAAGCATCCTCGTTATTAGAGAAATCCACAGGTTCGCATTTCCAACTGTACTTGTTCAACCAACCACCGACGAGAGCCTGAAAATTAAACAAGAAAAAATTACAAATTACATACATTTTTACTCGTTTCTTTTAACGCTGAATATTAAAAAAAAATAATAATAACTTCAGTTTGCACAAATATAATGTCAATAATTATATTTGCATCACTAAAATGACAATTAATAAAACAAACTCCGCTTCTTCCAATCGACTGTCAATTATTATAACATTTGCACCAATTCATATTTTGGAATCTTATACCTCCTTCGTTCTTGTCACCTAAGATGCGCTAACAAATTGAAAATCATTACAAATATTTGCACCAATATAATGTCAATATGTATATTCTTCTGCATTTGAAATATTTGCTGTTTTTGAGTGTTAAAACACACGTTTGCACCAATTATTATGTCGAATTATCTATATTTGCACCAAATAATCGACAGTTATTACGTAATTTTTACTCATTTCAACTATGGTTTGTTTTCGCGTTGCTTAATTAGATTTGCACAAATCTAATGTTAATTATCATGTATATTTGCATCACTCAAATCACAATTAGTAAATCAAACTGCATCTGTACCAATGCACCAATCCAATAAGAAATACTATATGAAAATCTTTCTGTATTTAGGTGTTTTATAAATCTTTTGATGTTAACACTTAAGAAGCACCAATAAATTGACAATCATTACAAATATTTGCACCAATGGAATGGTAATAATTTCATCTGCAATTGGAATGTTTGCTGCTCTAAGCTCTAATGTATATACGTTTGCACCAATTGCACGGTAATTATTATAACACATTTATTTCGCATTTGAAAATCGTTTCCTTTGTTTTAAGTGTAAAATATCTACATTTGCACCAAATAATTGACAATTATTACGTAATTTATACTCATTTCTTCTTAACGCTGAAAATTCAAAAAATAATTATAGTTGCAGTTTATTTTCAAGTTGCTTAATAAGTTTGCACAAATGTAATGACAATGATTATGTATATTTGCACCACTCAAATCACAATTAGTAAATTAAACTTCATTTCTTCCGATCGACGGCCAATTATTATATACATTTGCACCAATCCAATAAGAAAGACTATATCAAAATATTTTTGTATTTAGGAATCTTATAGCTCTGTCGCATCAATAGAATGGCAATAATTATATCAAATTTCATCCCGATTGCAGGATGTTTACTTATCTTCACTCTTAAGTATATACGTTTGCACCAATTGCACGGTAATTATTATAACAAATTTATTTCGCATTTGAAAACCGTTTCCTTTGTTTAGAGTGTAAATTATCTATATTTGCACCAAATAATCGACAATTATTACGTATTTTTTACTCATTTCTTCTTAACACTAAAAATTCAAAAAATAGTAATAATAACTATGATTTGTTTTCGCGTAGCTTAATTAGTTTTGCACAAATCTAATGTTAATTATTATGTATATTTGCATCACTCAAATCACTATTAGTAAATCAAACTGCATCTGTATCAACGGACAGCCAATTATTTTATACATTTGCACCAATCTAATAAGAAATACTATATCAAAATATTTCTGTATTTAGGAGTCTTATAAATCTTTTGTTGTTAACACTTAAGATGCACCAATAATTTGACAATCATTACAAATATTTGCACCAATGGAATGGTAATAATGTTTGTTGATGTTGAGTGTTAACATACGTTTGCACCAATTGCACGGTAACTATTATATCAAATTTACTTCGCATTTCAAAATCGTATTCTTTGTCATGAGTGTAAATTATCTATATTTGCACCAAATAATCGACAGTTATTACGTAATTTTTACTCATTTCTTTATAATATACCAATATAATATTACCAATAGAATGGTAATAATTATATCAAATATCTCTTAAGTTTTAAGTACATACTTTTGCACCAATTTCACCGTAATTCTTATATCAAATTGAAAGTAAATTATCTATATTTGCACCAAATAATTGACAATAATTACCTTATTTTACTCAATTCTTTTTTAACGCTGAATATTCAACTAATAGTAATAATAACTACGGTATGTTTTCGCGTTGCTTAATCAGTTTGCACAAATCTAATGTCAATTTCTATGTATATTTGCACCACTCAAATGACAATTAGTAAATCAAACTTTGTTTCTTTCAATCGACAGTCAATTATTATATATATTTGCACCAAACCATTAACAGCTAGTATATACAAATTCTTCTGTATATAAGAATGCTATAGCTTCTTTGTTCTCAACACATAAGAAGCACCAATAATCATTACATATATCTGCACCAATAGAATGGTAATAATTATATCAAATTTAATCTGCAATTGAAATGTTTGCTGCTCTTAACTGTTAAGTGCATACGTTTGCACCAATTGAACAGTAATTATTATATCAAATTTACTTCACATTTGAAAACCGTTTCCTTTGTTTTAAGTGTAAAACATCTACATTTGTACCAAATAATCGACAATTATTACGTAATTTTTACTCATTTCTTTAAAAAATAGTAATAATAAGTACGGTTTGTTTTCGCGTTGCTTAATCAGTAGTAGGTATTGCGCAAGCGGTGAAAGTGTATGAAAATTTTCCGGAAAAGGAAGACGGCAAATTGAGATAAACGGTAGTGCATTTTAGTTTGCGCGCGAAACACTTTTCCGAAAAACCAGAAATCAAACATTTGCGTATTGCGAAGCACCAATCTTCTTGCAAATTTCAACAGATTCATCATTGTATTATTAATATGTTTTAAATTTACTTAAGAAATTATACAATTTCTGTCCACTTAGATTGTTTCAACTATGATATATTAGGAGATACAGGTAAAACTAAGATTTATTTTAAACCAGATTCTTTTCCAATTCAGAAATAAAACATTTACAGCAGTTCCTCGCATTTGATTCTTTGTAACCAATTATCTTACAAAATTCATCAGTTTCATCATTAAAATCCAATTATTGCTGTATTTCCAATTGTATTTGATTATATACAGGTTTAACCTTGATTTTAAATCTGAAATTACGAAATTTAACAGTTTCTTCATTTCATCAGTTAAAAATGAAATAATTTATGTTTGCCAACTGCTATTCAATCTTTATGAAACTTCTATGTATTTAGGTAGGTAGTTTTAATTGGTTTTTAGTTACTTGAACGAGTTTTAAAAACCATAACGAATCCACTTAAGCATTGTTAATTGTTAATGTTGTAAATACGGCATGTGCTGCGTGCGAAAGTATCGTTTGAATTATAGACCATTAAATTTTTAATTGCACATCATAAAGTTATGAGCAACTAATAAAAGCCGTGAATTATCTTGTGCAAGAGAAATGTCGTAAAAGACGTCGCCTTTTAAGCGGAAGTCAATTAAAAATAATTCGCGTAAAAATTGTATCGATTGCGTAACGGAAGTTAAGATGTATTTTTTTCGTTACTTACTTAAGAATTAGAGAGCCATACTATTCCCAATTTTTTAAACCAAATTCCGATTGGTGCAAACTTAAATATTTAATACTCAAGAATTTAAGTGCTCTTATTGTAAAGATATATTTGATATAAGATAATTCAAATAAGATTTGTACAAACGTTTGTAATAGTACTTAATACTCAAAAGTACTATTTTCAGAAGAAATTTTATATAATAAAAACTTAAATTCGATTGGTGCAAATGTATTTAATGATTGTCAATTGATTGGTGCAAACGCATCACCTTTCAAGAACAATAAATGTAGAAGATTTCCAAATACAAAGATATTGATGATTGTCAATTAATTGGTTCAAACGCATTATCTTTCACGAAAAACAAATCTAAAAGGTACCCAATTTGTTATTCGATTGGTGCAAATCTATGTAATGATTGATTGTAATAAACAAAGTTTGATTTACTAATTGTCATTTAAATGTTGCAAATATACATAATGATTCAAATTAGATTTGTGCAAATGTTTGTAATGGTACTTAACAGTCAAGAGTACTAAAATTGCAATTTTCAGAAAAAAAATGATATAATAAAAACTTGCATTCGATTGGTGCAAATGTATTTAATGATTGTCAATTGATTGGTGCAAATGCATCACCTTTCAAGAACAATAGATATAGAAGATTTCCAAGTACAAAGATATTGATGATTGTCAATTGATTGGTTCAAACGCATTATCAAATTGCAATAACAAATCTAAAAGATTCCCAATTTGTTATTGGATTGGTGCAAATCTATGTAATGATTGATTGGAATAAACAAAGTTTGATTTACTAATTGTCATTTAAATGTTGCAAATATATATATTGATTCAAATTAGATTTGTGCAAACGTTTGTAATAATACTTAACACTTAAGAGTACTAAAATTGCTATTTTAAGAAAAAATGTGATATAAGAAAAACTTGCATTTGATTGGTGCAAATGTATTTAATGATTGTCAATTTATTGGTGCAAACGCATCACCTTTCAAGAACAATAGATGTAGGAGATTTCCAAGTACAAAGATATTGATGATTGTCAATTGATTGGTTCAAACGCATTATCAAATTGCAATAACAAATCTAAAAGATTCCCAACTTGTTATTGGATTGGTGCAAATCTATGTATAGATTGATTGGAATAAACAAAGTTTGATTTACTAATTGTTATTTAAATGTTGCAAATATACATAATGATTCAAATTAGATTTGTGCAAACGTTTGTAATAATACTTAACACTCAAGAGTACTAAAATTGCTATTTTATGAAGAAATTTGATATAAGAAAAACTTGCATTTGATTGGTGCAAATGTATTTAATGATTGTCAATTTATTGGTGCAAACGCATCACCTTTCAAGAACAATAGAGGTAGGAGATTTCCAAGTACAAAGATAATGATGATTGTCAATTAATTGGTTCAAACGCATTATCTTTCAAGAATAACAAATCTAAAAGATTCCCAATTTGTTATTGGATTGGTGCAAATCTATGTATAGATTGATTGGAATAAACAAAGTTAGATTTACTAATTGTCATTTAAATGTTGCAAATATACATAATGATTCAAATTAGATTTGTATAAACGTTTGTAATAATACTTAACACTCAAGAGTACTAAAATTGCTATTTTAAGAAAAAATGTGATATAAGAAAAACTTGCATTTGATTGGTGCAAATGTATTTAATGATTGTCAATTTATTGGTGCAAACGCATTATCAAATCGTAATAACAAATCTAAAAGGTTCCCAATTTGTTATTGAATTTGCGCAAATCTATGCAATGATTGATTGGAATAAATAAAGTTTGATTTACTAATTGTCATTTAAATGTTGCAAATATACATAAAGATTCAAATTAGATTTGTGCAAACGTTTGTAATGGTACTTAACAGTCAAGAGTACTAAAATTGCAATTTTCAGAAGAAATTTGATAAAATAAAAACTTGCATTTGATTGGTGCAAATGTATTTAATGATTGTAAATTGATTGGTGCAAACTCATCACCTTTCAAGAACAATATGAGAAGATTTCCAAGTACAAAGATATTGATGATTGTCAATTAATTGGTTCAAACGCATTATCTTTCAGGAATAGCAAATCTAAAAGATTCCCAATTTGTTATTGGATTGGTGCAAATCTATGTAATGATTGATTGGAATAAACAAAGTTTGATTTACTAATTGTCATTTAAATGTTGCAAATGTACATGATTCAAATTAGATTTGTGCAAACATAAATAATAATTGTCAATTGTGAAATGCAAAGTAAATTTGACATAATAATTACCAGAGCAAGCGTACGTAATTAACACTGAATAATGAAAGATTCACAATTTCAGTCTATCTCTTGATGATAATGTACGTATTTAACACACAATAATTAAGATTTCTAATTGAAGAGAAAATTTAATATAATTATAGCCATTCGATTGTATCAAACGTATATATATATCGATTGGTGCAAACGTACGTACATAATACTCAAGAACGAAAGAGTCGCAAGATTCCCAATTGCTGAGAAAATGTTATATAATTACGTTCACATTGGTGTAAATGCACGTACTTAACATTAAAGAACGAAAGAGATATAATATTTTTAATTACAGAACTATACTATTTCTAGTTGGTTTATTGTAAACAATAATTGTATGTCAATTGGTGCAAACATTAAAGATCGAAAGATTCACAATTGTTGAGAAAATATTATATAATGCAATTCAATTGGTGCAAACATAAGTTTTTAATACTCAGGAATGAGAGAGTTATAAGGCTGCTGACAAAATGTTATATAATTGCAATTCCATTGGTGCAAACGTATATAATACTTGCCTATTGATTGTTGCAAACGTACGTATAAAATACTCGAAAATGATAGTCATAAGATTATTCAATATTTTTTTATATAATTGTTAATTGATTGGTGCAAATATACGTTTTCAATGGTCAAGAACAAGAGAGTCATAAAATTCCCAATTGCTTAAAAAAATATTACATATTTGCGATTTGATTGGTGCAAAGGAATAACATATTTATATATCGATTGGTGCAAATGTACCTATTAACACTTAACACGGCGAATTCCTCTAACGGGGCCCAAACGAGAGGTGAAGTGAAAAAAAAAGGCGAGAAGAAATAAAAATGAAAGTCGATGTTATGTACGTTATGTAAAAACGGAGATAGAACTTGCGCAATGCATCATGCTACACACACACACACCGTTTATAATTTGTGTTTATTTCGTTTTTCTACTCTTTCGCTCTCAAAGTGTTACTTGCTGCTACTGTTACTAATAGTAGTTATAAGAAACGATTGCAGCGAAGACAAATTGAGAGCAGAAACACCATCATTTCAGGATGCAAAATCTTTAGTTTTGCAAACTCCGTTCATAAATTGGGCAATTTATTTTTGACCTTTGAAAACGTACATATATTTAGAAAGCTGTTTCGTTTTGTCCGCTTCTCTCTCTCTATTTTCATATGCTTTCGTTAGGTAGTCACAATATTTTGGGTCAGGTGGGACAATTTTTTTTTCGCATAACCCAGACTAGTTTTGAAGGTCTTACGAAATTGTCTTCTATCTTTTCAAGACATAACATTTTATTACGAATCACAAGAAGTGTGCCAAACGAAATGCAAGAAGAATCTTTTGGCACACATATAAAAGAAAACCTTGATTTTAAGTGCGAAAACATAAAGCGTGGGCTTCATTTAGTCTAGATGAGATAAATGTTACATACTTGTTTTTTTTTTGGGAAACTTTGAAGGATCAATTTAGTAGAACTTTCCAATCTATTCAAATGCAATTATTAACTGCACTTCTATCAATACCAAACATTTCTAGGTAGAAAAAAGGAAGAAACCTTGGATGCAACATGAGTAGATCCATCAGAGTTGCAACTTCTCCTTTGAGATTAATCCTCTCAATATTAAATCATTAAGTGGTTATGACGCATATATTCGTCATGGTATCTTGTATTGCGTATCGCTTAAGACAAATATATTCGCGCCATGAATAATATACTAAGTTATCAATAAAAATAAGTGACTACTAGGGAAGCCACTTCATGAAATGCGTGTTAAGTCTCATATATCAAATTATGTAAATATAAATTTAAGTGCGAAAACATAAAGCGTGGGCTTCATTTAGTCTAGATGAGATAAATGTTACATTGTCAGGTGGATACTTGTTTTTTTTGGGAAACTTTGAAGGATCAATTTAGTAGCACTTTCAAATCTATTCAAATGCAATTATAAACTGCACTTCTGTAAATACCACAAATTTGACACATTTCTATGTAGAAAAAAGGAAGAAACCTTGGATGCAAGATGAGTAGATCCATCAGAGTTACAACTTCTCCTTTGAGATTAATCCTCTCAATATTAACTCATTAAGTGGTTATGACGTATATATTCGTCATGGTCTCTTGTATTGCGTATCGCTTATGACGAATATATTCTCGTCGTGAATAATATACTAAGTTATCAATATAAAGTTATCTCATATATCAAAGAGATACGTATTAAGTAGATGTAAATACTTATGTAAATATAAATTTAAGTGCTTTAGTCTACATGAGATAAATGTTACATTGTCAGGTGGATTCTTGTTTTTTGAAGGACCACTTTCCAATCTATTCAAATGAAATTATAAACTGCACTTCTTGTGCACTTACCACAAATTTGACACATTTCTATGTATAAAACGAAGAAACCTTGGATGCAACCATGAGCAGATCCTTCAGAGTTGCAAGGACACTCCACTTCTTCTTTGAGATTAAACTTCTTAATTTTAACCTATTAAGTGGTTATGACGTATATATTCGTCATGGTCTCTTGTATTGCATTATGACGAATATATTCGCATCGTGAATAATATACTAAGTTATCAATATAAAGTTATCTCATATATCAAAAAGATACATATGAAGTAGATGTAAATACTTATGTAAATATAAATTTAAGTGCAAAAACATAAAGCGTGGGCTTTAGTCTAGATGAGATAAATGTTATATTGTCAGGTGGATTCTTGTTTTTTGAAGGACCACTTTCCAATCTATTCAAATGAAACTATAAACTGCACTTCTTGAAATACCACAAATTTGACACATTTCTATGTATAAAAAGAAGAAACCTTGGCTGCAACCATGAGTAGATCCTTCAGAAGACACTCCACTTCTCAATTTTAACCTCTTAAGTGGTTATGACGTATATATTCGTCATGGTCGAATATATACTATATATTGAATATATATTGCGTAGCGTTTATGACGAATATATTCGCATCATCAATAATCACATATGAAAAAGATACTTACTACGTAGAAGATGTAAATACTAATGGTAACTTGGATTAAGTTGTATCCGATGAGCGTGTGTTTGAGCTGGTAAGGTTTCCTGTTCTCCATATACCTAGGTCCCCAGCTGAGCACGAAATAGAGGTACGCAGCGATGATCGCTAATCCCGGGAAAGGATTTGCTATCAGGAACCACTCGTTCGTTCTTGGATCTAAAAAGAAAACCACAAAAGAAAATCAATAAAAAAAAACGACAAAAAAACTACAGATTAATTAGATGATCTAATTACCGGCCAGCTCGTAGAACAGGAAGTGGTAGACCTCTTTGGACGTTTCCGTGAAATTCGCCAACGCCATCGTCGCTTCTCTTAAAACTTAAAGGATTCGGCAAGAAACGATCTGCAAACTAGGAAAATAAATTATGAAATTTGGGTTTTTTTAGTAAGTCAGATATTCGGTAACAGTAATGCAACCAATGAATCATTTAGCGAGCGCTCGAAGAAGAAAAAAATGTGTGCTCGTTGCGTAATAGGCAAATATTTGGGTTGAGCGCGTTTAAGAGAAATTTTTAGACTTCGGATCCAAACGAAACCGAGAGTGATTTTTTAAACTTGAACTTTTACAAATATTAGTTTCTATCGAATCTTTTCATTGTCATTATTTCATTTCCGTCTGGAATTATTGTATTAAAACAAACGATTATTTAAATTAATTTAAATAAGATTGGATAAGAGTAAAAGTTTATTAGTAATTTATGAAATATTCGTGAAAATTATTAACGTATTAGAAAATATTAAAATACATTTATGTTAATATTTATATAAATAATTTTAATTATATAATAGAATAACATAAATATTTGTCTACACATTAAATTCAATAATTGTTATAAACTAAATTAAAGAAAGTTGAGTCTAATTCGTATGAATCTATACGTAACCAATATTCATACGTATTAAAAAAATATAAATATTTGTCTTTCGTAATAATACCATAAGATAGACAAGAAAACTTTATTTTTTTTATTATAAAATTTATTAAATAAAATCGAGTTTATTTTTTGGACATTTCTAGTAAAAAAAAGACATAAATAATTGACAATAAAAAATAATTTTTATAAATTTATATAAGATAGACTGGAGTCACATACTAATGTTCTGGCTATTGGCCTACTCGACAACAGTGAAACCACAAACAGGCTGAAGCGTTGCAAACCACTAGATTTAGTATATAGATTTAAGTAATTATTAATGTACAAATCATCATAATGGTAACTATCCACATTGATGAACAGATTGTGAATAAAATTATACAACATAAAAAAAAGCAAAGAAAGAAAGTTATATATAAAGTTGTAATTTAGTAAATGAATTTCATGAATAATTGTAATATAAAAATAGAAATTTTTGTGTAAATTTTCACTTATAAAAATGTACAGATTGTGGCCAATAAATATGTTTAATTGAAAATTAAAATAATTTAATCGAGTTGATTCTCGTTTAAAGGAATTTGTTGGTAATACATATTACAATAATTATAAAGATTTGACATTAGTAATTACTATACTATAAATATTATTTCTAATTGCAAAAGAAAACTAACGTTATAATGATTATAATATAGGAATAAAACAAGTTATGTACAAATTAATTAATTTGTAATAAAAAAAAAGTTGTGTCTACTTCGTAAGAATTTATACGTAATCAATAATTATAGCAAAAAAAATATGAACATTTGTCGTAACAATATCAAAGAATAATTTTAACAAATAAAAAACTTTGCACAAATTAACAAATAAGAAATTTGTAAAATAATTGTCATATTTATCTCTAGTATTTTGTTTATTACTAAAGACTAAAATAAATCACAAAAAAAAACTAATTATATAAATTATTTATAAAATATGAATACAATTCATAAAATTAGAATTGTGATATAAACATTTTAATGTAAAAACAAACTATTTTCTGTAAATTTTCAATTGAATATTTGTTATAAAAAGCAAACCATATATAATATTTGAGTTTTGCAATAATATTAACAAAATGTTGGTATATAATTTTGTATATAAAAGCAAAGAAAGAAAGTTAAGTCCATTTTCTCAAATATTCAAAAAATTAGATTATTTATATCATAAATGATAATTTTAATATAACAATAGAAGATTTTTTTAATTTAATATTTGTTATAAAAAGCAATTAACGAAATTTAAGTTTACTTGGTAAGAATTTAAAGATAATGAATTGGCACGTTCGGACTATAAAGTTGCTTGCAATAAAATTGAATAGGTGATGAAAAAAAAAGTACAGTTGAACTTTGAAATCGGCATAATGATTGAATCAGGAAGACACCCGTGTTCCTGAGTGTAAATGGTTCATTTGAAAAATGACAAAATGAATATTTCCATTGTCATTAGAGCACGTGCATCGAGATGATTGCTCGCATCTAATTGGTTTTCCAGCGAAAAGCGCATCCAATAACATTGGAAAAACACGTTTTTCTCGTGGATCGCATCTTCCTACCAAACGAATGTTTTTCGCAACCGTTTGACGTTTTGATACGATTATTGTTAATTTTTTTTTGCACTCCGTCTATTGCAATTATATTTACATTCAATTACGGTTGTCGCATCGCACAGTAGAATTGGAACGATCCAGGCAGACGGACCTGAAGAAAACAACAATCCCGAATCGCCGAAGAAGAAGCACAACAACTTAAGTTAAGTAACAATGGACGCAACCATAGAAGACGTGATGAAGATCGTGGACACCTTTCAGCAGCAGGAGAACTTCACTTACAACGTGAGCTTGAACACTATTAAATTATTTTTTTTTTAATTCTCGTCCGAAACGCGCGTATTAGAATATCTCTTGCTCCTCTCTTCTCATTTGCGCAATTTTTTCGGTGACTTTCACATTTCAAGTTTAACTAATTTTTCGAGCGGCGGCCTTTTGCAATCATACAGATGCTTTTTCAAAGGCGCGCGCGTATATCGATGATTATTTTATTTATTTTTAGTTTTTATTGAGAGAATTAAGAGAGCCGTGAAAACAAAACAAAACAAAACGAAAAACGTTGAGTGCTTGATGCAATAACCACATAGAATGTGATTGTGTGCTCTGTCGTTGTGTGATGCAATCGTCCAGAAGAGAAAATAAATAAGAATCAATCTTAATGAGATATAAAAGTGAAATTCGGTAATAGAAATCATATGGATAATAGCAAACAAATACAATTATATATAGATCTAACACAATCGTTGCAGCATTTGGACATTAGAACTACGAAATAAATGTTATTTCACTAAGAAATTTTAACAATATTAGCATTTCGCAATAATAATTGAACATAAAAATGTAATTATCTCGCAACGTTTTTTCATTATTTCTTTATATAATTTGAGAGAGATCAAAAAGTAGTCGTGCAAACTATAAACTAAGCGCTATAAATAGATAATGTTTTTGTAAATTATGAACTGAAATTAGAATAAATGTTATATTTTTTGTTTGTAAATTAATATTGATTTTTCATTCTACATACTTTTAGTACAAATATTTCAACAAAGTGTAGTATATAATGATAGAAATACTTTCAATTACTTAAAAAATTTCAAGAAATGATATACCAGAAAAAAAAAACATTAGAATATGCCACAACATTATTGTAATTTACATCTTATTGAAAAAAATACTCAAAAATCATTGAATTAGTTGAAATATTTCAAGTTAGAATTAGAAATAATTACGTTAATATATGTTGATAAATATTGAAGCTTTTTTACAAAAAGAGAAACATTAATGGTTATTTGTTTTTGTTGTAATTTAATCAGGAATTGTAAATCTTTGATAGAATATTTGAATACAAGAACTTTTCTATTCACCATTTGCTGCAACATTACTTATACGCAGTAAACTATATAAATTTCGTAATAGAATACAAAAGGAAATCGAGTTGTGAGATAACATTGAATTAATTTGCTGTTTTCCATACATGTACAATACATACATTTATTTAGAAATTGTCACATTATAACTTTACACTAAATATTTCCAGTAGTAAAACTATGTTCCAATTTTTTTTTGTTTCTTTTTCATTATCACAAATATTTGTTTATATTGCAAAACCTCGGCTTCGATCAGTCCGGATTCACAAAAGTCCTGTTTGATAATTTAAATAAATTAAAAATTCCTAAAAAAATCGTAGATAAATTTATACATAAATGATTTTTTTATTATCTTTGTATAGTTAAATCTCTTTTTATGCAATTAGTTCCTCAATTAGTACGGTTTCAAACAGTCCGATTACCCGCACTATGCCGTATAGAAATGTCTAAATGTCTAAAGAAGATACTCAGTTTCAAATTAAAACTGTACACTAATTAATTCAAGCAGTAAAACTATATATTTTTTGTATCTTTTTCATTAATAAAAATATTTGTTTGTAAACGAATCGAACGTAATTCGTGTCATTATATAATTAGAAAATTTAATTTGTTTTCTACAATGCTTGCACTCATTATAAATTATCCCTTATAAGGAAGTCATTCAGTCATGTTTGTTGTTTGAATAAATATTGCATTAAAACTTGTTTCTCTAGTAAATCTGAATATGTTTTTGTTGGAATGATTTTATTTTTCTAATATGGAATAAATTTCCTTAACAAAACAACAATATTTAAAACGTAATTTAAATTTTTAAGAAAAACTATTTTTATTTTCTGATTTTTTTTGTTCCTTATTTACAGAAACATGTGTTTTTATAGGAATTAAATTGCAATTTGTGTTATTATGGAATGTGAACAATTTAGTTTGAAAATTAATTTGTTTCACTTCATTTAAAACGTAATTGAAATATAATGAAAATGCAATGCATTCCGTACAAAACCTGTTATTTTATGTAATAAATTAATAAGTCACCAATTCAAGTTGCTTAACTTTTGTAATTGTCGAATACAAAATGATATTCGTAGCAAACAATGATTATTTTTCGAATAAATGTTACTTTTTATCATTACTTTTTGTAACAAGTTAATAAATCACCAATCCACGTTGCTTAACTTTCATAAGTTATCAATGATTATTCGCAGCAAACAACGAGTTTTAGTTGAAAAAATGTTACTTTTTATCATTACTTTTGTAACAAGTTAATAAATCATCAATCCACGTTGCTTAACTTTCGTAAGTTGTCAATGATCATTCGCAGCAAACGACGAGTTTTTGTTGAAAAAATGTTACTTTTTATCATTACTTTTTGTAACAAGTTATTAAATCACCAATCCAAGTTGCTTAACTTCTGTTAGTGTTCAAATATGAAATGAATATTCGTTGCAAACATTAATTATTTTTGCAATTGTTGTTGAAAAAAATGTTACTTTTTATCATTACTTTTTGTAAAAAGTTAATAAATCACCAATCCAAGTTGCTTAACTTCTGTTAGTGGTTAAATATGAAATGAATATTCGTTGCGAACAATGATTATTTTTGCAATTGTTGTTGAAAAAAATGTTACTCTTTATAACAAGTTAATAAATCACCAATCCAAATTGTTTAAGTTTCATAAGTTGTCAATGATTATTCGCAGCTAACTATAAGTTTTTGTTGAAAAAATGTTACTTTGCATCATTACTTTTTGTAATAAGTTGTTTAACTTTTGTAATTATATATGTAACAAATAGTCTTAACAAATGACATACGTATTTTTTAATTACAATAAAAAAAAGCAAAATTTTCCGTCATATCGAAATGACAAATTATAAAATCGAACTCAATCACGTTTCTCGATATCAATTATCGTAAATAATAATTACTTAAAACGAATGGCGATAAATAAAAATTGCTGAACAATACAGAAGAAAACTATTTTTTTTCAGATACAAAAAAATAGAAGAATTTATTTCCTTATAAGCAAATTTTTAATGTTTATATGATAATTGGAAGCAATTTTCATATAATTGTGAGTATTCGATCGAAATACAAAGACTTTAATGAATCGTTCGATCAAGTTATAATTGCTGAAAAAACAACAAAAACAAAGTCAATGAAACGAAGGTCAATAAAGCCAATTACGTCTTGATTTGTTTATATAAATAAACACGCTTCCTATATTTATTGCAGTAAACCGTGAAATATGCAAGAAATTAATAAAAAAAGAAAAAATAACTGGAATCACCTTTTTCGGTAAAGAACAGGAAATTAAGCGAATGTAAAAATCTTGGCCACAAAAATTGTGTTTCCTTGAAAAAGTTTCCAATATTTGATGATTTTTAGGTCACATTTCTTTGTTCATTCATGGCAATAAAAGATCGCTAAATAAATAAAAAAAACAACATTTTTACGTAATAATTTCAATAAAAAAAATTGGGAAGTAGTTAGTTTGAATATTAATTTTTTTTAGAGTTGATCACGAACAGGTGCAACATAATTGAATTCAAAAATTTAGCCAAGAAAAAAAATCTATGCAAATACTTTATGGACTTGCATAAATAGTTTTTTGATTCCAAAGTCGAAAAACTACAAAACTGGATAAACATTGGAAATGTAGATGCGTTTCGCTATAAATATTATTGATTTGAAACAAACATTTGTTTTTGTTGAACTGTTGAACAGAATAAAAAAAATTGCAAATTGATGATTATTACCACATAATTTGTAATTTCATTGTGCCTAGAGGAGGGAAAAGCGCGAATGCCGCAACATTAGTTTATCAATTACAAACTTTGTTTGTACATAATTTATATATTAATAAATCTTTTTGGTAAAAGGCCACGTTTGCTTGAACATTTTCTTTTTTGTTTGTTTGTTTTCGGACGCAACAACGCCGCCTTTGCATAACGCCTTTTGTTGGACAAGAAGAAAGAGTTTTTACGCTTGTTACGCTTGTTGTTTTTTTTTTCTTTTTTCTTAATTACGCAACGGGGTTTGCGTTACGCAAAAGTTGCGTTTTTTCGCATGTTCGATTATGTAATTGATTTCATCTCAATTATTTCAAGATGTTAATAGTATGAAAGGTGCTATTTACTGTGGCAATAAATAGTTTTAAATGCACGCTATAAAATTAGTTTTACTTTTTTTTACCACTCTAATATGAATATTTACAAGCTTCTTGAATTTGCATATATGTTTACTACTTTTATTATATAAATCGTCATTATAATTAATTGCAAACAATAAATAAGAAAAAATACAAGTATAATTAAGTAATATTTTGTAAAATTATTGATTGTTGTTATTTCTTACATCATTATTACAATTTTGTATATTTTTTGTGAACTTCTAATACTTTTGTTAGAAATTTTCTGTACAATTAATATTTATAACAATAAGATTAAAAATATCATTATAATCAAGTAAAATTCTGTAAATTTATGATTTTTAATAAAAATTGTTATTATTTCACATAATTATTAAAATATTAGTATTTTTTATATTTCTACGAATGTGTTACAATTTATGAGCATAAATAATTATTGTAAAATAATAAAATGAATAAAAATAGAAATATCATTGTAAGAAAGTGATTTTCTGTAAAATTTGTTATTTCTTACATCATTATTAGAATTTGTTACTTTTTTTTGGTAAATTTCTACTACTATTTTTAAAATTAAGTATTTTTCCGTGAATATACTGATTTTTAATAAAAAAAATTGTTGAAACTAATTTTGTTACAATTTATCTGGATAATGAATTATTATTGCAATTAATTAAATAAAAATACAAATATCCTTATAATAAAGGGATTTTCTGCAAAATTTGTTATTTCTTACTACTTTTTCTAATATCAAGTATTTTTCTGTAAATTTACTG